AATGGCCTCGAGTTTGTCAAGGGCTTTGTTTGGGAAGACCCGAACAGAGGCCGAGGGACCGCTCGGGGCCGAAGATCAAGGACCCGATTGGAAGACTGAAGGAGACGAAGAATGCGATGGTCTGGCCGTAGGTCAAAATAAGGACGTTCCCGCCGGTAGGGCTGTGATTTCAAATGTCGGTCAAAGGACTTCCAGCATCGATTGGGAACTCGTGGGACAGTGCGGGGTTCTATTCCAGTCAGAGACAACCAACAACGAACAATCGGCTCGGTGTCGGTTTCAGAACTATGGGCTCATTTCCCCAAGCACAAACGAGGCCGAGCCCGCGATTTGCATTGATCAGGGTCTCTGAAACCATGACGGTGTCGGCAGGGACCCACAGTGCCTACCAGGGAATGCTTTGTCTCCAAGGGGTCCACAGACGCCAGGAGCCGTGTTTGAGGTGCCCGAATAAGGACCCAAAGAGCCTCTCGGGACCTTAGATCAAGGGCCCGATTAGGTGGCCGAAGGGCCCAAAATGCTGGATGTAGGTCACATTATGGACCCCCGCCCGTAGGACCGTGATGTAAATGTCAGTCACAAGGCTTCTTGCACGGATTGGGGATCCCTGAGAGAGTGCGCTCCTCCATTTTGGCCAAAGATATTAACACCGAACAGCCGCGTCCGTGACGATCTAAGCTTTGGGGGCTCATTTCCATGCAGGGACAGGTCGGGCCCGCGATTTGCATTGGCTGGGAACCATAAAGCAATGCGGGGCTCCTGTGTTGGTCAAGGGCCCACAGTGCCTAACTGTAAGAGTGCTGAGTGTCCTTTGTTGACAAGGGGCTTCGAGTCGGTCAAGGGGGCACAGGGTAGCAGGGGAGCAGGGGAGCTCAACGGGAACGGGGACGAGACCCTAAATGCCAAAGAACCTCTTACGTTGGTCGAGGCCCTCTAATAATGCGAGCAAACCTGGGAACTTGTGATGAGGACTGACCTTGAGAGAGTGGAAGGGCCTTGTGTCAGTCAGGGTCCCCAATACCGACGACTACCCGCGAACGCAATTCTAGCCACTGGCTCGTTAAACCAAACTTGACTCTACACACCAACCATTGGACTATCTGGGGAGGTCAGGGATCTTGGTGCGTTAATGAGGTTACCAGCCTAGATCCGAGGCTAATTGCGCGGGTCAGGAGGCCTCCCGTGTCAGGGAGACGACCAATGCCATGTGATGTATCCTTCTAAGGGCCTCGGGATCGACCAGGGCATCCCGCCTTCCTGCCGCCAGAATGACTGCCGGAAGTCTCCCCGCGCTGGCATGGAATGACCCATCAGCCCTTGACCGAGAACGATAAAGCGCCCGCTAATGTTCCACTCAAACAATGTCCTTGCCCGGAAAAAGAAAGGGGTTTCATTAGTTTTTGAAAGAGTTGGTCGAAATGAATTATAAGTTGAGAAAGGTTAACTCATTTAGAACGTTCATTCCTTGGCGGAATCGACTGATGAAAAAACCTAATTAGAAAATATGAGCCTGCGCGCTCGCAAGTTGTAGAGCAAGAAGCACAATGGCTGGGGTTACAGTTTTAGTAAAAACCGAACAGTTTTGACCACTGCAAGTAACACCAGGTGATGGGCCCCGTGCGCACAAGCGAGACCTCGTGGTCTTTTTTGAAAGTCTTGAAATACGTCCGCACTGTTTAAATATTGGACTCGGTCATATCCTTTTTTACAGTGTTGAGGCTGTCCTCTGAACGGACAAGAGCTACGCCAACACGAAAAATAGAGATTCTGCCCCGAATTCCGACACCAGACTTTTGTCCACCCGTCTGTCATCACTTACTATTGACGTGGGCCGATGCCGTGCAGCCCATGGAGACTGCAACGCCGAGCTTCCAGGTTTTGGTTGCTGAGATTTGCGAACGTGCATGTTGAAAACTACGTAATATTATTTTTCTCACTTATCTCCTATGACTGGATGTTGAACATTTCCAAACAAGCAGGAGATAGCCATGAAAAGACAAATTTTGACGGGATTCGATCTACAGTCTGCTCACGAGGTCTTCGATATCTGTGTAGAATCCAGATCAAAATTCTGGAGAAGTTTCTAAGTACTATCGGTTAGAGCCACCGTAAAATGAAAAGCGACAGATATTCATTTTATGCAGGTGTCTAACACCTGATTTCTTTGGTCTATTGTTTTCAAAATTCAACCAGAATTGATAGCACGATAACTTCTGCTTTCTGTTCGCGTAATAGAATGTAAAAATAACGGTAAAATAAAGAAAACGGTGTCCCCTCATTAACGAATCAGTCATATTCGGTGATTTCTTGAGGGCCTTTCATTATCAGGAGGCCTTTTCTCAACCCTGTGCTCCCCCTTATCAAGGCTCTGGTTGCGCCTCTGCTCTGGCCGACTTAGGGGCTGTTTTCCAGCACCGAAACTTCTGTTAGCACTACGGGACCCTGACCGACGCAGGAAACTCCTCATTGCTTGGGGGCCCCGACTAATGTAAACTGCGGTCCCGGCCTTTGTCCCTGCTTAGGAAATGACCCTCCCGAATCCAAACCGATGAGGAGCCGACTGTTTGGTACTGATGGTATTTAACTGGCACAAAGGCCCGCATTGTTGGGGGGGGGGGGGGGGGCACCCTGATCAGCGCCTCTGACAAAAATTTGAGAGGTTCGGCTTGCAGGCAGGCGCATGTAGATGGAAACTGATCCTTGATAGCTGTTTTCGAAGCTACACGAGATCATTTGTGCAAGGTATTTGTTTTAAAAATACTTTAAGCTGAGAATGTTGGATCAGCTGGGAATGAATGAGAAATCAATGTTGGATCAACGGGAGGGTTACGGGCAAGCAAAGAAAAGTTAGACCACAGAAGAGAACTGGAACAAGAAACAATGCCCTCATCGAAGTGGGCAATGTTTAATGCGACCCTGTAGCTGGTCTGGTTTAAGATTGGACCAGTTGGAACGGGATTTGAAAAATAATCACAACATGCGTGGCATAACTGATGAATAGCCTTTCACAGAACATATGCGATTCCAGAAAGCAGTAAAAAGCATCCGTTTTTGTCAAACTTCTAGTTAACACGTTCTTTTCTGTGCAAGTCTCAGGCTTGGCGATTGAACGAGATGTACATTGTTCCTGGTAGACCCCTTGGGTAGGCCAGTGCTAATTTCCTTTTAAACTTATTTGCTAGAGAAGACTCACCATGCATGTCACAACAACGTCATAGTTGGCTTTTATGGCGCGAAGGTAGCCGTTGGCGCGCAGCAATGCACGAATCAGCTGCTTTGCTGCAAAATAACCTGTGGCGATTGGCTGTCATCAGTTGCGTGGGCGTCGCGTCCATTTCCTTTCACCACTAGAGACAGCGAGCAAAGTCAAACAAAGGCGTGGTCCGCTGGGAGTGGTGGGTGGTTGCCGCTTGTGGGTAACGTTTGCGCATTGCTGGTCAATCACTAGAAAGCGGAGTCACTTTGTTGCGGTTTTGGCGAAGTGTTTGTTGTTGTGTCTACCACAATTAGATAGGGATTGCACTGATGGTGCGCATATCGTCAAATACCTACCTGTTGGTCTGAACGGCGGTACAGTTCATTGTTAGAAACATAGCAATGCTTGTTTTGTAGGAAAGGAAGAAATCCTAGAAGTCATGCAATTATTAAAGAAAGCCTGAATTATATGTCATTCTGTGTCTTCTCTTTTGTGCAAATTAAAATGCCTGATTATAACAGCATTTCGCATACTAACCTGACCTGACATGACCTAGCCAAACCTAACCTAACCTAACCTAACCTAACCACCTAACCGGTGTAGGTGTACTTTCCTACCTAACATTAGAAAAAATCATTGCACACCATTCGGCGTGTTCAAGGCGGCACATATCGTAAATCATCTCAAAACAGGTAGAATCATGCTCCTACCTTCGAATTTCAATAACTTCGATGGCGAGCTCCCGATGCGTAAACCATTCATCGTGTTTAAGGTGGAACATATCGTAAATAATTTCAAAACAGATAGAATCATGCTCCTACCCTCGAATTTTAATAAATACGATAGCGAGCTCCCGAGCGCCGCACCGCACTGCCTCGACTTCCAAGCGCCGTTTCTATGTTGCGAAAGCACAATATTTCTGCTTATCAAGAACCATAAAACATGTACGGGACCAAGGTAACAATAATAAAGCAACCAAAATCGTTTCTTATCGAGTTTAGGTACATTTATGAAACACGCAGGCCAGAATAGTCCAGAACATATCCTAACCTAACCTAACCTAACCTAACCTAACCTAACTGAGAATAGACCAGAACCTAAGCTAAGCTAAGCTAAGCTAGCCTGACCTGGCCTGACCTGACCTGACCTGACCTGACCTGACCTGACCTAACCTAACCTAACCTAACCTAACCTAACCTAACCTAACCTCCCCACCCTATATCCCCTTCAACCCCCAGCATCTCATTGGCATCCATGTTCCATGCCATATATAGGTGCCATATAGTGAGCTTTTATTTAGCTGCCATGTTCTCATTTTGCTTTACATTCCCCACCCAATCCCCCTGCAACCCATGGTCCCGTTGGCGTCGAGGATCAAATTTCAAGGATTCTTGCTACCTTGTCCCGGTACATTTTTATGGTTCGCAGTAAATATGGTTTATAGTTATAGTATGGTTTATATAGTATAGTTTATAGTTATAGTTATGGTTTATAGTATGGTTCACAGTTAATATGGTTTATATGGTAAATATGGCTATGGCAAATATGGTTTATGTTTAGTAAATATTTTTATGGTTAGCAGTTAGGTTATGGTTGTCCTGCCTTAAACATGACGAATGGTTTACTTTGGTCCCGTACATTTTGTACAGTTCTTGGTACGCAGAAATATTGTATTTACGCAACGGCAACGCGAAAACGGCGCTGGGGAGTCCAGGCGGTGCGGCGCGCGCGGCGCTCGGGGGCCCGCCATCGAAGTTATTGAAATTCAAAGGTAGGAGCATGATTCTACCTGTTTTGAGATTATTTACGATATGTCATGCCTTAAACACGACGAATGGTGTACAATGATTTTTTCTAACGTTAGGTAGGAAAGTACACCCTGACCCATTGGCATCCATGTTCCATGCCATATATACATACCACATTAATAATTTTTTCTGCCACCATATTATTTTGTTTTTCATTCCCACCCAAAGACATCATATTTGCCTGCCATGTCAACCAATCTAGAAACAATACAGAGGACTGCTTGGACATGCAAGAAACATATTTCATTGGGTTCCTGTTACCTTGGCCCCATACATTTTTGTGATTCTTGATGCTCAGTAATGTGACCAACCATAGCAATGGTGCCAGGGTCGCAGTTGCTGTGTTTGCAGTGCTTGGATGTTCGCTATCATAGTTATTTTAGTACCAAGGTAAGGGTATAGATGACCTGTTTTGCTATTATTTATGTTTGGCCTTAAAAATGACAATTGATGTGCAATGTTCCTTTTTAACATTAGGTACCAATGTGTACCATGACCATGCTGCTGGTTATGATTGAAGCAAACCTCTGAGCAAGGCATGGAGAGATACAAACTTAAAAGGTATTGCATGAATATGTCAGCAGAACAAGATTCATAAATGTGATGCATCCACTGACCAGGCATGTGCTGGAAGACAATCGGGAATGATCATAAGTTGTCAGTCAGCCAATGAATGGCCCATTGAGGTCAATCAACAGTGCTATCTTTTGTGACCTTCAGACTTCATGCTTTCATTATTGTGTGAATATAGCCATTTGATTTGTAGGGTAAGATGTTACTATTTTACTGTTCATTGGTATTCCATGGCTTAAGTCACCTTATGTAGACAGCTTTACCATGAAAGGAGCTTTACACCAAAAGGTATTGTCTTTCATTTGTTGTCACTACCATAGACAACTAAGATGTTGAGATATTGAAATGTCTGAAGCCAATACAGATGTCCATGCATTTTTCTATGCCTGCCACAGCTGTTTTTGAGTTTAAATTTCAAATGTGACACTGCACCTTTGTAGATATAATTGTGGACATTTTTGCTTTCTTGAAAAAGTGGACACATCTGACCTACCAGTGTGACAAACACTGGTAGGTCAGAGGTGTCTGCTTTTAGTTATATGTGTCATTCAAGTGGTGATCTGTGGTATCATCTTTACCCAGCTCTTGGATAATGGCAAATTGCCATAAATCATGGGTGTTTTGCTGTATATGGGGTTATGCTACAAATCCTGCAGTGTTTGACATGTTCATAGTGCTACTAGGAGCCACTTTATAATTGCTGACCTCAAATTTGACAAATGGAAAGCACTTCTACTAGCTCCAGGTTATTATTTTTCAATAATTGAGTGATGGTGTGATCTATAAATGGAGAGTGCAGATTGTGTTGTGTGTTGAAGTCACTTTGACCACTTGTTATTTTCCCTGCCTGGGATGGCTTTCAGCCAGTGGTGGCAGCTGTGTGTAAGGTCAGGTGATGTCAAAGTGACAAACTATACCAAAAAATGTGGCTCATTCACTGTCACATGGCCAATACTCACAATAAAATTATGCAATAGACCAGAAGCTTCATAAAAGCTGGGGTCAGGAGTCACACTACAGACACAGATGGGTTCAGATGGGAATCCTTCCATTCAGAGGGCTCAGATTGAATATGGAAAGTAGAAGATTAAAAAGCACAATGTGTGGTTTGTATCCAGCTCAATTTGATTTCCAGTTTTACTTAAGATATTGTTGACTGAAGATACAAGATCAGAATGCTACATGTGCTTGTGTGGGTGAAGCATGAGCTGCACTGTATGTACATATGTGATATGCTGTTTTTAATAACTAAATCAATCGTGATGTGGCCTGTCTTTTACACATAAAGTGCTTCATTTATGCTTTGTATGTGTGTATTATCTTGTTTAGCTGTCTTGATTACTGTTAAAACTGGCAACACATCTGCCAATATATAAGGAGCACCAGTGATTGTAGCCTGCAGGCCTTTGACTTCCTGGAATTTTAATTTTTATCTCCCACATGGAAGATAAGCTTTCTACCCAGTGACCCATTTCATCTATCTTAATAAATACTGTTCTCATTGCAGGCAAATAGCAAGTTGAGGGCAAGGCATAATTTGTGGTGTCAAATTTAGTTGCTGTGTTAATCTGCTGTAGTCAAATAGTGTGAGTTGTTGATTTTTGTTACTGTTTACTGGCAGGTATGTGTAGAAATGATTTGCAGTCTCAACTGTACCTGTTTGGTCATGTATGTTGCAGATGTAAATCACATGTACAGAAATATATCTATATGCTTGTGCTGAGCAGATATTTTAAAATTGTTGAGCTAAATTTTCACAGGTGTTTTCTGCCTGCAATAATTTTCACCTGCAGTTTGCTATTGGTGGGGTATGCATGTGGAGCACAATGCATACTGTGTCTGATCTCAAACTTGCAGGGTGTGCCTGTGCAAAAAAGACTGGTGTTGTCAATGCTCTTTCATTTGTAAGCTAAGGTGCTTTTGGCTGAAAGGTTCACCTTTGCTCACTGCTTTGATGCATGCTGAAATAATTGTGGTAGGTGTGAGCCATTGGCTGAATATGGCTGCATTTGGGTTTGCACTCTATCAGTTGGCTGCTACCTAACTCTGGGTTTGGGTGTGTATGTCTGATGTTTACCTGTTCTGCAGGTGGAGCTGCTCCCATGACTACCATCTATTAAGTAAGGTGACAAAGTCAGGGTCACTAGTAGAATAAGACCTGTAGTTAGAATTATCTTCAGGGAGGGATGCTGGTGTAATTTGTTATCAACTTCTCAAATTTGAGCAAGATTCCCACAAAAATGTAGCCTAATGGTTTAAGTATCTTGGTCTGGGGGAATTGTTTCCGAATTCAGCTAGGTGTGTAGGGTGCAAAGTTGAAGTAAATTGTAAGTAATTATGAACCCACCTTTTGAATTTGTGTGATCTGTCTGAAGTGGGTGTCCAAGTTTTGTTTTTGCATGCATTAGCATTAGGGCTTATGTATCCTTGTTCTGTTGCACAGTATATCTTTGAATGACTTGGCTTGTTTTCAGGGTTTGAGGCACACCATGGCTGTGAGCTTATGACATGGTTAGTCTGAAGCCAGTGTTCCGTTGTGAAGAAGACATTGAGAACTGTTTGACAGCAATAGCGGCTTGAGTGATTGTCCTGAGACATTTTGCAGGCATGCAATTTGCTTGCTGTGTTATGATAGGTGACAGCTCCTGAAATTGTCAGAGCTTTGATTTCCTGGTGTGCAGGAAAACAGTTTAGTTGTGCTGTGAGACATTGGACTTGCTTGTTATATGCATAGACTGGGCAGTGGACTCTGTAACCACCAAATTTCAGGACCACTCAGCTGTATCGCGGGACATGGACTCCGTAAGTTTTCGTTACTCACGCCTTGGCTGAACTGGTGTCCGCGTAGTGCCCCTGAACTCGGCTGATTTTCTTAGTGCCCGCCAGACGCGTATCGTTCCGCGCACGCAGCTGAAGCCAGCGATTTCAGTCGCGCGCAGTGAAGAGTCGTGTCCCATGCCATTTGGCGAGGAACGGCAACGTACCGGTGCGTGGTGAGGATTGCGGGCACTGCTGCCGTCTCGCGTAGGACCTCGCCAACTGTTTGGGAATCGACGCAGTGCAGCCTGAGAACTGCACATTCAGTACGGGAGTGTCGCCGGCCCGCGCGACTCGGACACTGCTGGTGACTTCTGGACCGCTGCCGCGCGCCTCTGGCGCCACGTCCAGCCGGCCCTCCGACGAGACGCATCCGTCCGACCACTACCAGCTCATCTCGATCACCACAGTATGCGGGAGTCAGCTGTTCGCCGGTCGCGGTGGCAACGCCAGGCCACCGCCTTGGCTCGCCGGCGCGCCCTGGCGCAGCAAAGGTGATCAGCCGGGAGTGACTGGCCCGTTTGATGGCCCGCTGACGTTCTGCCCCATGCTACAGAAGTGTAAAGGTAGTAACTTCGTGACTGGTGTATGGCTAATAGAACAATGGGATAACAGTGGACAGCCAAGCTTCTGTATTCCGGGCATGCGATGCTTTGCGGCTAAGCTGGCGTCACCGGCTGTGCGAAAGCGTGGCATATGTTACATCTCAGGCACAACCGGACGGGGAATGCTTCTCAGCTCTACGATTAAGCTGTCGAAGGCATGCAACCTTCTTGGCATGTCAAAAGGTTATTAAGTGCTTGCGGTAGGGTTCAGTGCAGCACATCACAGCCATAGAATGTGAGCTGCTCTGCTCGTTTATAGCTGTATTGGGCGCAATGTGATGGCTATTGTTTCCAGCATATGTTGACAGCATGGTCCGCTAACGCTGCCTGCGTGCTTGTGTGTCTGTACCATGTAGCCCTGAGCCCGCCCGTGCCGTGCCGACCGAGCACGCTTCAGGTCCGGCGGCGGCAGCCCTGGATCGGGCCACCCACCAACCCACCACCAGCGTCACCAACAGGATGTCTGATAGCACAGGTACCATGCCTGGCTGTCTGATGTATGGCCGCAGCACCCGCAGATTATGAAGCGGGAGTTGTTGGGTGTTCACAGAAACGTTGATTTCATGTCATTTTCCAGTAACTGTTTTTTTTTGTGCCATGTGATGTGACACAGGTGGCTGCCAATTGAGATAGTGGTGTAGTTGCAAAGGTGTTTCTATCTTGTGCATTGGTTGGTGCGTGCATAGGTGTTGTTCCCTATTCACTTGGTGGAGGTGACTTTAGCATTCTCCTATTTGGGCTCCACCTCCCTCAAGTTTTAGCATAAAATGATACAAATCTGTGGAAAACCTGCTGTTTGGCATATTTTGGATACACATGGAGAATTTGTCATGGTTTGACCCTCTGCCCCTAACCCGTGTTGCAAAATTGCGTTCTTGGACGACCGTGGGAGGCTACACCCCTGGGTGAGTAAGGGGTGTAGTTCTTGTCCAGATGGGGAAAGGGGCTTCAGCCCTTCCACTCACTTTGAGAAGAAAGTGGGCATAATACTAGGAAAAACCTGTTTTTTGGCACCCTAAGTGTGCAGGCTCGGTCATTTTCCCAGATTCAGCCCCCCCCCCCCCTTCAACTCATTTTGCGATGTTGCGCCCCTCTTGCGAGGGACGTACTGTTTTTGCCTTTGTGTTACCTGTTGAGCATTTTCTGATAAGAAACCATGTGCCCATTTTGTGACAGACTCTCCCCATTATGGACCCTGTGTGCGACCGTCAGCAGGAGGGACAACGGGCACCAGACTCTCAAGAGCTCCTGATCATGAAAATGAGCCGGTACATTCGGACAGCGATTCCTATGCATCTACGGTATGTCTTACGATCTGCTTCTGATAAGTTCCTCATTATAGGGAGCTTGGGTGATGTGACATTTGAGTCTTAGCCCTGACACTTCACTCCAATGCTGCTGGCTCCAACCATATGTGAACTGTCATAAACTGTGTGTCTTTTCTGAAAGTTCTTCACAACACGAATTCACTGGCAGACACTCGAAAACCGTCATCGTTTTGCGTCGGTGTGTGCCGGCGGCGGCTGTCGTTCGAGCCGTATCGGGCTCGTAAGTCACATCACGAATCTGCGTGCTGCTGACCATGCTCTGCGGGCGGCAGTCTTCCGAGCCGGAGAGGGCGACGCTGCCGGGGTGCGCACCGCTGCCGACGGACGACTCTGGTGCGGCGGCCGACTCGGAGTCGTCGGAGACCGAGCGGTCATCGTGTCGCGCCTGGTTCTGCCGCCGGCCTGACTGCCGCCGCCTGAACCCACCGCGTTGTCTCTACTGCAGCTGCTGCCGCACGGTGAGGCGGGTTTGTGGACGCTGAGGGATGGTGACGTAGTACTTCCCCTGTCGTCGTGTATCGAACGGGACACGTGAGATAACTTCAGGTTTGCCAGTGAATGGGAAAGACGTGTTCTGATCATCGACTCTGTCATCACATGACAGCTGCCGTGTTCGTGACTGCTTCCGTCGTTCCGACTGCAGTAGAATCTGCTGAGGGCCGTTGTCAGCTATTACGGACTAGAGGTACCACTTTTGATCTGTTTTTACCTGCGTATTGCGGGCCTGTCAGGGGAGAAATCGAAGCCATGGTATAACGTTTTGTTGAATTGCGGGATTATAGCCTCATGTGTGTATGTATGTCTTTTTTTCCTAAAGGAAGTGTGCCAGGCTTTCATAGCATTTATTACACACACACACGTTTTGGCGAGTTATTCGGAAGGATTTCTAGAAAACTAGTACTACTGATCAAATCAGACGCGTCTGACCTAATCATAAGTAAAACAAACAAACAAACAAACAAGGTGGCATACCTTTAATGATTCCCGTTGTAGTGTGCATCGTTTCAACGAAAAACCGGACGCTAGAATCAGGCACTCGTTACGTGCGGTACTCGGTCTCGTTCTACAGTAGAGGGCGGTGCTGAACGTGCTGTCCTCTTCTGGAATTTGTAGTGGGCGCTGTCATGGCGAGCTGACCCATACACTTCGTATCCGCTGTTGTAGGGCCGCGTCCGGGCCGGGTCCGATCCCGCGGAAGGGCGGTGCGACCCGCCCGCCGAGCCTCGGGAGGCGGCACGGCCAGCCGGCTCCTGCTGCCTAATGTGCCGGCGCCGGCCGGTCGGTGCCGCCGCCATCCTGCACGGTCGCTCCGCCTGTCAGAGCGCATGCCATCGGTGCGCGCGACGCCTCTGGAAGCTCGGAAGGCCCTGCCCGGGTTGTGGCCAACACATTGAGAAGATCGTCACCCTGTGGTACGCTTGAGCCAGGCTCCGCACACCGCCAGCGAAGCCGCTGTCGGCTTGTCCTGGTCCGGTTCTCCACGACGTCGTCCTGGTGGCCGCGTGATGATGCTCATCTTGACCGAACTCGAACTGCCGTTCTGTCAGAACACTGGACATCAGGGCCTTTTCACCATGGCCCGTAATGGTTTTTGCGCTCTTTGCAGCGCGGTGTCGATTATGAAGAGCTTGAACGGCTGGAGACGTCTAGCTGGACATTTTTGGAGGAGTGGAGGTGAACACTGCAGCTGTTAAATGTGATATGCTGCTGATCTCGAATGGCTCAGGGTGGATATCGTGGTGTGCTGTGCAGGCTGATTTGTGACCATCATCACCTACTGCCGAGCACATGGGATGGACATATGGAGGTGCTGTCAAGACCCACTACTAATCACCATGGACCACTGGCGAGCTGAGCTATCGACAATGTAGGCCGCTGTCCAGCTGAATTGCTGGCAATCTGGCTGCTGTCTGGCTCATGTGCTGGCAATCAGGCTGCTGTTCAGCTCAGCTGCTGGCGTTCGGACTGCTGTCTAGCTCAGCTGCTAGCCTGGGAGTGCTGTCAATCCCATGGCCAGTCATCCAGGACAGCTGTCCAACTGAATGCTGATCACCTGGAGCCTTTGTCCAGCTCCGTGGCTGGCCAGCCAGGACTGCCATTTAGCCGAACACTGGGCCATCACTGACTGCTGTTCTGTCAGGACTGGTGGCCATCATGGACTTATATCCAGCAAAACTGCTGGTCATCATGGACTGTTGGTGTTCTGGACTTGCTGCATGTCAAGTCCAGAACTGTCCAAGTCTGCTGTCAAGCTGAACTTCCGAAGCTGCCATCCAGCTCGACTGCTGGTCATCTGGGACTGCTGTCCAGCTCAACTGCTGGGCATCCAGAAGTGCTGACCAGCACAACTGCTGGTCATCTGGGATGTGTCCAGCTCAACTGCTGATCATCTCAAACTGCTGTCCAGCTCAACTGAGGTTGTCTGGGACTGCTGTCCAGCTTAACTGCTGGCCTGCCAGGGCTGCCACCCAGCTCAACTGCTGGCTGTCAGCTTAACTGCTGGTCATCCGGGACTGCTGTCCAGCTTAGCTGCCGGCCATCTTAAACTGCTGTCCAGCTCAATGGCTGGTTGTTCGGGACTGCTGCCCAGCCTCATGGCTGGCTATTCGAGACTGCCGCCCAGTCCGTGGCTGGTCATTCATCATGCTGGACTGCTTACTGGCACAGCCATGAACATCGGGAGAATGGAAAGGCCAGGCCAGCTCAACAACAATGGTATGTACCTCGGTCACTACCATGACCAAACTTGCCTCAAGCCTTTAGATGTTCAGATGAATCATTCTGTTTTGAGCTTTTTCAATGTAATTTTAAGATTTTTGCTGTCAATATACTTGCCTTATTGTGTTTCTCATTGTGGATGATCTATATCATGTAAATATTTGCCAGCCATTGTTTTTTCTTAAGGTATGCTTTTGCCACATTTCAGGAGAAAGTGTGCCCTTGTGACCCCATTGCAGCATTTCCAATGTTTTCAGGTTTATCTTGTGTATGTTCTGCTCACACTCACACAGGCACCTCACTGAGGACACCTCACTGAGGATACCTCACTGAGGATACCTCACTGAGGACACCTCATTGAGGGCATGTTCATGTTACCCTCAGAGATAAACATTGTAGGGGTGGTCCGATAATCTGCCTTTAAATCCAAACATATGTTTAATATGTGTGTAATGCAGGGGAGAAAAAGGAGGTTGAAGCAAGCCTTCCAGTGCAAGAAAACTTAACTAGTAAATGTGGTTGAACTTAGAGAGAAGCATTGAGAGAGAAGCATTTTCCTATTCTTGGGCCAAAGGCTGCTTACCAGGTCTTGACCCGAAACACTCAACAGCACTCAACATGCGGCTTTGTGTGGGGATGTAGCAACTGGCTTGACTTTGCAAGATACCGTTTACCGTCCCTTATTAGAAATAAACAACATGACACACCACACGACACGATTATATGCCTAATGATAAACACAGCATTTTGGCAGGTGAATCAATTCCACGGATGTTTGGAGGGGTAGCTATGGTGGCGATTTCCACTTAGTTTGAAACAACTGGGTTTCCTAAAACGTCATTTATTTGTTAAGTGTTCCCAATTTGTCTTCATTGCGAGGGATCTGGTGGTGAGTTGATCGTAAGTACATAACCGTGATGTGAATATACGTGTGGTAGACACGTCATGGATGTTCGACGACCCTAATATTTTCTCCCTATTTTCTGTGCATGCCTAGTGTTTTCATATCAACGTTTTGCTCCCTGATCTTCTGTGCGCTTATCGCTTCTTTCCGGCATTGCTATTTAATTGGATGCTAATGTATCCGTGCATTGAGTGGCATTGGAAGACGCAAGCAGAGGGGGGTTGTAGAACAGAATTATGGGACCTTTTGTTGAAAATAGCCCTTTTGGGTGTTCCAGTAAGCACTGATAAAACAAAGATATGCATTGGTTGGAATGTGTAAATATGTCGCTTCATTAGCGTGTGTCCTTCAGGATGGTATATGAGGACATATTGATCACGTGCAATCTTTGTTTTATCAGTGCCTCTTGGATAATGAGGATTGCCATTTTCATTACAAGAAATTTGGTATGAGAAGTTTACGCCAGAAAGGCAGGGCTTAAAACCTTTCTCACTTATATCAGGTTGATGAAACTAGCGTGACCGGACATGGTTTCACATGTGGCCTGCGATGCCCTTCGCTCCAATAAGGAGCGGGGAGGCATCAGACCAAACGTCTCGTCCCCGTCCTGGAAGCAGGGCGGGTGTCTTGCACGTGTTGTGACCTTGTTTTTTGGTGACTGTGCCGAGACGTGTGGCTGGATGGTTGTCCATGGTCTCCGTGCAGCCCGTTGTGAAGCGTGGCTAGTGGGTAGTGGCGATTGATTTAGTTTGGGGAAGGCACCGCGTATGGAGCTCAGCACGTGCAGGCGTGGAGGTCTCAACTGGACCGTTCCATTGGAGGCGAGTCGAGTAGCCCACTTTTTTGCCTTGTGTCTGCATGGCAGTATGTAGCTCCAGTAGCACTGGGGTTGCTCGGTTCAGCACGTTCCCTTTCAGGCAGAGGGCTAGGCGGAAGGTGCACATTTTGTTCAGCTAGGAAGACAGCTGCTTTGTGTATTCCAGCATGAAAAGTAGGATTTAGCAGTACGAGTAGACCTGTTGTTTTGCTTGTGTCTTGTCCAGGGTGCACTGTGATGGCTAATGAATAAACTTCTTTCCAGAAATGCTTCTTTTTATGATCTACTGACCGAAGGCGGAAAGAGAGGCACCTTTGTGATGCCAGTGATGCGTGGATGGTTTGACACTATGTATGTGTATTCGGGTGTTCTCACGTACAAAATATAGTGCACGGAACGTCCAAAATGAGAGCAACTTTAAAAATGGCTGGTTGGAGGCAGAATGTGCAATGAATGTGCATTGTGCACAGAATGGAATAGATTGCGCACAACGTGGAATGCGCGTAATGTTTAAAAGTAACAAAATGTTCAAATAAGCAATTTTGAGTACAAATTTGGTTCCTGGAAGCGGCCGCCAATGTCAATATTCACCCGTATTTACTGGCGGCAGCGCTACTGGAAGCATTTACCGCGCATATACAGTTTTCCGTTGCCATCACTGGGCGCGCGGCCCGCCGTCTGCCTCTGGCCGGTGACATATGCGATGGACAAGATGGCGCAAACAGGTATTTGTCTAATCACAAAGCGGGTGGTGACGGCAGCGATGTTACGAAGGCAACTCTACGGAAAGTTCGATGGAACTGGAGGGAGCCGTGCATGGGTTTTGCCTCAAGTCGGATTTTCACCCGCTTTATGTAGAGTGATGACAGTTACCGGAGCCAGTGCTTCAATACGGCGCGGCCACGCGCTGTCGGGGTAACAATGCAAATATAGACAAGAAATGTGCGAGTATGACGGCAGAACATCTTGCTCTCTTCGTATCGACAACGGCCAAACCATAAGCAGGAGGTGCTGATGACAAGGGAGGCAGTCGCGCATGATTTATCATCGAAGATGATGCGCTCTTGAAGGTTATGCGGGCAACCATTGCGATGAGATCGGCGTGGAAATTGGAAGCTCCTGCACGAGAACTGATTCAGGGATGGGCGGCGGGGTTATTCGAGCTGCGTTCGTACCGATTAGAGCCACAACTTTCTTCAAAATATCGGCCCGCAGCCCAGCCCGTCCTGCCTAGCTAGTGGTCGAGCCCTCAAAAGCCCGCTTTGCAGCAGTGCTAATCCGCGATTATCCCCAATTACTAATTTATTTCGAGCTGTTATAGGCGCAAAATGACCCTAGAAGTCGACGCGCCCTAAAACCCCAATCATCATCACTAATTTATTTCGATATGCCATAGGCAATATGATGTGAATCAAACCTTCTTCCCAATACCTGGCACCCACCCTTCTGCGGGGTACATACTTGCCATTTTCTTACCGCATCCAAAGCCGCTACTTTTCAACGAAGCACAAGCCATGATGTTAACGGCGTGCCTTCTGGGATTTTCATTTCCTCACATGCCCTCGAAGGAACACCCATCATATCAACACTTCACTTTTCGACGCGATGGATGTGGTATCCTGTACTCCTGCGTCTGGGCGTTCCACGAACGCGGTGCGGTGTTTAAAAAAAAAACCCGGTCCTCTTGGTTAATGGTCACGCAAGCACGGATGGACATCTCCTATCTCCTCAGTCTGATGCCAATGCCAAACGCTCCGACTTCCCGGCTGTGCCCGCTGCGCAACCGCGCGTACACCCCATACGCGCGCGTACGCCCCGTGCGTGCGGGCGTATGCGGCTTAAGGATCAGCGCACTGTGAATAAGAGCTTGGGGTCCTAGGGGACTATTATAACGTCAAGTGGCACATTTCACGCCTTTCATCTACCTGAGTGCGTCATCGTTACAAAAATGCGTGGATTCTTCCTCGTTTACTCGCGGCTTGTTTGAAACTTCAATAGGCCTATCCTCTTCCAAAGAACATTTGCTTTAATTTGACGTCATGGGGCGCGACATCATCGCATTACTGTGGCTGAAAAATAGTGCTGGGCGCAAAATTCGTTCGGGCGAAAATCCACTTAATTGACATTGAAAGTTAATTACCCGTCATTTAGGTCCCCTGCAACCCCTGCTGCTCCGCCCTGGTATCTCCGGTCCTGTCTCCTCAACTCTCCGCTCCCATAGTCTTGGCTCTGCCGATGGGAGGGGACACAAAGGGCAGGTCCAATGGAATGTGCGCTCGGACCAGACCGTCCTGTTCCCGCAGGGAGAAGGGGATGACATCCAAGAAGGGCACGCGATGGAATGCGCTGGGGGGGGGGGGGGGGGTAGGGCCGTCCGTCCTCGGGGTAGCCAAGGGCATAGGGGCTCAGCCTATGACCACGGGAAGTAGAAGAGCTTTTCCTCCTTGGATTTATTGCAGCGTCCCAGAATGGCTCCAACTAGTCCCGAGTGAGCAAGTTTTTCGACCCTGGTGCCAGCTTGGCTGCAGGTGCAGGTTCCGAGTGCGGCGCAGCACGACCTTCAGGTCGAATAATGGGCGTGATGCCGCGGGCTCCCATCGGCGGCTCTGGAGGGAGATGACTGCGGCAGAGACACAGACAGCATGTCACCTTACCGTTAGGGCTACCGCACCGTTGGCAGCATCGCACTTCTTGCTGAACATTTGCACGTTTCTATTAGTTTTTTCACGCGATGTTGCAGCATTTAGCCTCAACACGAGGCGTTGAGGTTAATCATGTCGCATCAGCCAAGCAAACGAGTCGGCAGTAGTATGGTTGGGGACGCGGATGTCTAGTATGGTTGGGGACGCGGATGTCAGTCGCAGTCACAGTACTAGAGCGAGGCCGACGCAATCAGTGTTCAAAGCAATCGCACTTGTTAGTGCACAGACTTCGCCTGCGTGCTTTGTTGGCGCAATACCTCAGTAATACAAGCACAATTGCATGCATGCTGTAAGCTGTGCGTGTCTGCTGAAATAATAGACCATATCGGAATCTGAGTCAGCCGTCACTGTGGAACGAAAAGCGTGTGGCGCTTGGGGTTTTGCACGGTCGGAACAAGCGGTTCCATCGAAGCTGTACGGCAAATTTCGGCCGTAAAGGATGTTCCGGTTGAACTGTTCATTCTAGCTTTTGTGTACCCTTACCTGCACAGAACAAAAACGGATAAAGGGGCGAAGACTATTGCGACATGGACGGAGTGGTAACGGCATCTTCAACAAATGCACAAATACATCTTGCAATATCGAATACTTTCCACTTCATATAAGCGCGGTCAAGTAAATTTTGCGATTGGCCAAGGTGGGCAAACACAAGCCGTTGTTGTAGGGTAGTCCCTGGGCTGTTAGAAATCTCAAGTGCGTCAGCCTACCTAGATCCTTTGGTCACAATATGCTGCAACGTTTTTTCGTTTGGTGGCTTTGTTTGAGCTGAGTACATGCAAAATCAGAACTGCTTGCTTGAGTGTTGTGTAGTCTCGGCGAATTGGATCTGGGAATTTTGCAAGGCTAACTTACAGGTAATTTGCCAAGCAAAACTGCCGGTAGCCTCCTGCAACAGGTCTC